GTCTAATTATCAATGATACAGATAAAAAAATGTTAATCCAATGGTTCTAACTTAGGGAGCACAGAGTGCGTTGTACACAGAGGCCTAGGGAAGACAGCACCTGCAGCTGTAGTTGATGGCTTGATGGTTCCACCTATGGTGTCAACTGGCAAGAGCACGTTGGGCAAAGGGAATAAGTTCCATTTAGAACTGATTCGCAAGTCCCATCAGTCATAATTTATGGTGGAGCTTGACGTACCGAATCCCCACGAGATTGCTACCAAAAAAAAAAAAAAAAAAAATCCCCACAGAGATCGCCTGAAGGGTGGTATTTCCTGTAAATTTATCAGAGTTGAAGGGTATTAATGCACTTCGACGTTTACTTTAGCAACCCGCTAACGTGACCTTCACGAGAAAAAATTGGCTGCTCAGTGCTCACCACGTGGGAAATGAAAAAGGAATGGAATCCAATACTCCGTTAATAGATCCCTCACGGGATTTTAACGGTGTAGTTAATCTATGGCGGCAGGCGCTATTTGTGATTAAATTCGCCGTTAGTGTCGTCAGACTGCTCTTAAGCAAAAGGGGGGTTTTTATAATTCATTCCACCATTTAGGTAGAGCTAGAATTTTCAATTCCACTACTTTGGCAAATTTGACAAAATTTTGCACAAAATTACAGAAATGCCACCTTATTGAAAAAACCCAAAATAACTATCGGCACTGGGGCACTGTTTAATCCAAACCCGAGCCCGAACCTTGAACCAAATAAAAAGCAGGTCATGTCAACAGCCAAGGTCCGCCATACCGAACAACACTCCATTCTTTAGTGGTGTCAATCAGCAATGGAATTAATTTTAGGGTAAATTGCTGAAACCTTCATAAAACTTTCGTAGAATCTTTAAAAGGCATAAAAATATATAAAATACCCATATAGTTATTATCTAAGCTGTTTTTTATGAAAAAAAAGGATTATAGCAAATAAGGGCAATTTTTGGATCCTAATATCAATAGAAGTAATATTTAAAAAAAAAATTAAAAATATTTTAACTTTTTAAAAATAATATCAATTAAAGGCAAAAACATTGTTTATTTTCTTTCTCTTGCAATTTATTCACCAACACCGTCGTTTGTCGTTGCCTTCGACAATACCTTCACTTATTTTTGCCTCTTCTGCCCACCTCTACCTCTGCCTCGGCAACGTTGCCGGAGGTGGGTGGAGGCAGAGGTGGCGACGGTGTTAGTGGGCGGAGGTGGCGGCATTGGGCAGAGGAATGACCACCAATGCCGCCACCGTCTCTGCCTCCGCCCACCTATGACAATGTTGCTGGAGGTGGAGGCGTTGGTGAATGGAATGCAAGAGGAAGAAGATGAACAGTGCTTTTGCCCTTAACTAGTATTATTTTTAAAAAGTCAACTTATTTTGATTTTTTTAAGTATTACTTTTATTGATATTAGGGCCCTAAAGTTGCCCTTATCTGTTATAATCCCCCCCCCCCCCAAAAAAAAAAACAGATATAAATTTATGAACAACAAAAACAAAGAGATAACTTTACCTTTGAGTGATTGATATAAAAGGCAAATTTGAAAAATAAATCAATTTCAGAAAAGAGATTGAATGTACTTAGGATAATCATTCATATGAAGAGATAATTGCATGGGTATTTTGGACATATTCATGCCTCTTTCTAAAAGATTATATCAAAAAGGATTTACTTGCAAGTTGCAACCATATCAAAAAAATTAATGGAGGTAATTACAATTACCAAAATTCAAGAGAGATTTGAGCAACCTTAATTTTACTATTTAAGGTTCGTTGACATGTCTAATCTTTGTTTAACAAATTTCCTAATTAGCGATTTACACCAAATATACTCACACTAACATTCTAATTTAAGGTATATTTGGATGCATGGTGAGGCTTTTCTATTTCCTTTATCTAGGCATTTTGACTTTATAAAGTCAAAATTATGCTTGTTTGGGTTGATTAAAGTAGTGTCATGATCATTCACTTATATTTATGTGAAAGTGATTTTTAGAAGAAATACTTTTTAATGTTTCTAGTTTTATTGTTTAAGATGTGCTTCTAACTCAAATGTCTTATCTTGCATGTATACATGTTTTAAACAATAATAAATAATGCATTGTATTATATGTGGAAATACTCTACTTAATTTGTGATACTCAAAACCAAAAACAAACTATGAAAGCTAAGTACCCATGATATCGAAGATTATCTTAGAGTTTTTTTTTTTTGGAAAGATGTTAAACCTAAATATTTGAACATATTTGTTCGGACGTTTGGAATTGGAACGTGTACAGAAAATAGCCAAACCCAAGTTCTAATGGATGAGGATAGACTTTGGAAGTAGGGTCAAACCAAAAAAGAATATCATTGGGCTACTTAGGCTATCCCTCAATTTAAAAGATTAAATTGAGCATTAGTCGGATCAAATAGCAACTCAATCATGGGCTTTCTTTTTGGTTGGACGGCCACGATCATCTCTTAACTTTGGCTGAATTTTTGTTTTGTGTGGTCAGTCATGGTCCAGGAGTTTCAAATTTGCTGTTTTGTTCATTTTTTTCTTACCTTTCTAGTTGAGCATCCATAGAAAGAAATGATGGGATTCTTTTTCTTTGGGCGTAGCTGGTTTGAATGTGTGAGTCGTGTGGCATCAGTAATAATTAGGGTTTCCTTTTTGGATTTAGGCGAGTTTTCGGAGTGCTTAAAAATAACTTTGGGCCAGGACGACATCAATAAGCATTTATTTGTATTTGGGAAGTAAGTCCATATAAGGGTTTGTTTAGTCTGTAATTGGAATTGGAATTGGAATCAGAATCCAAATTTTTTGGAATTTGAATCGGAATGGTTTATTTCCTTTCTGTTTGGTTCAGACAAGAATGAAAATGGAAATGAGAATCACTATGAATGGGATTTCAATCCTAAGGGAGAGGCAGAGAATAGTCATTCCCTCAAATGGGAGAATGTTATTCCAACAGGAATAGGAATGAGATTCCGATTCCGCACAACCAAACAGTTGGAATTAGAATAGCCTATTCCGATTCCAATTCTAAACCCTTATTCTAACAAACCAAATAAGGCCTAAGTGTTTATTTTGAAAATAAGTGTTTAAATTTTGGGTTTCTTTTTAAGTACTTATTTTCTTTTTTGTCTATTTTGGCCTGTCATGTCATTTTAAAAATATCTATACTAGCCCTATTTAAAATAAATACTTTTTTTTATCAAATGTTCGTAAATACTTATTTTTCAAATAATCACTTTCAAACTTGGCCTTAGCTAAGCTTGAGTGTGCTTAAAAATAAGTATTTATTTAAATAACATTTATTTTATACCAAGATCACACCGGTAAACACTTATTCATGTTTAAAAAATAAGCTCGAAATAAATACTTATTCAGAGAATAACTGTTTATTCAAATATGAGAATTTCATATAATCCAAATCGTTTGGAGTTTGGACCATCTTCAATTCCCATTGCTGTCTTGTGTAAGCCCACTGTTCAATATTGATTGGAAGAAAAAGAATACATCCAAGCCCAAACCCAGTTCATTTGCAAAGAGGGATGCATGATTTGAATGGGACAAATGGGTTTGACTTGCCATTACTAATCTCTTAATTAGGTTTCAATTCACCTCGCTTAGTCCCATACAAATTTAGTTCCTCTTGGGTCTTAGTGTTAATGTTTGTCTAGAAAACCTCACCAACCCCATAATTCAAAGGGATTGATTTCTTTATATTCCTCCACACGTGAACACGTTTTCTAGTCTTGTCCACAAGCAAGGGTTCAATGATCTCTACACCATAACCCCATTCGTCGCCTAGCCAAAACAAAAATTTTAAATCTTGATGCACACCCATACTTCCTCCTTAATTAATCATGTGGGGTTTTCTTTGTTTTTGGTGCTCACAAGTCACAAGTAGTAATTCTTTTTTTTTTTTTTAACAATGCATATCTGGTTCAAAGTATTGATATGTATCGATTTTCAAGGTCATTGATAAGCTAAATGCTCACATATTTAAACATTAATATCCATCTTAATATATTTATTTGTAAATTATCAAACTAAAAAGAAAAAGAAAAGAAAAGAATATTAATTATTAAAAAATTTAAGATATATAATTTTTTAATGTAGTTAAGCATTTTTCTTTAAGTATTTCTTGTATTTCTACGGGACACTCTAAGCATGAACCACTCATCCATTTCTATCAACAATTATTGGGCTCTTATATTCCTCTTGTTCTAAGCATTAATTATGATTAGAAGTTATTAATAGCTCAAAGCAACGAAGTAAATAAGTCAGAAATCTTCATTTAAATACTATTCAATCAATCTAATTCACACTACACCTATCACAGATTTGGTCCAAAAGAACTACTCTTGAAACGAAGTCCTCCTCCCAATACGCTATCCGCAGCGTCGGCCCTCGGCCGACCTATTAACACCCTTCCGTCGCGCAGGACTTGGACGAATTTGGTGACTTCGATCTGAGTCGCTTCCCCTCGAAGCCAAGCAACTCAGTTTTCAACTTCTCAACTCGTTCACATTACTGTTCAGAGTTGACACGAAGCGCGAGAAAAAAAATAAAATAAATAATAGAAGGACTTACGGAGATGTAAACTGCGCAGAATTTTAAAATTACAGCTTCCCATAGATTTCGGATCTCCTGCCCACGCCTACCCACAATACATCACCCCCGTGAATTGAGAATATCTCTCCTAGATGTTCTCATTCTACCTGTACGGTAAGATTAAGATTTCTACTTCCAGTTTGCCACGTGGTAAAGAAAAATCTCCATTATTAAATGTACTTTAAAGAAATTGACGGCTTCCATGGGCTCCGGAATCGGGATCCAGTTTCGGAGGGTACTTCAGTAAAAAGAATCCTAGATGACGTCAGACTGATCGGATTTCGAAAATCACTATGGCAATCTTGTAATTAAAGAGAAAGACTGAGCACTTTTGATAAATGGTGTTAATATATATACTTGATGGAGGGACGAGATTGGTGGCTTCCGCAGTTTTGCTGCTTCTCATTGAGTAGATTCGGACTTCGGAGAAAAGAGAAAAAAGAGAATCCATTTCTCTTGTCTATCTTTGGTCTTCACCCTCTATCATCTCTTACTGCCAGCGACACAGCAAAGAGGCCGTAACAGCGAGAACAGCAACATCGGCAGCGACTAGCTTTCTCTTTTTTATATTAAAAGCTTGAGACTGCGCTTTCCTTGATTTTGGTGCTTCCGAAGAGATATAGAGATCTATAGCTCTCTTTTCTTTCGCCTTCTTTTCCTTTTTCCTGTTTCTTCCAATCTGCTTTTCTGTTTCGGTAATTACAGAAAAAAAAACACTCCCCGCTCTGGTGAGAGGAGATCTGAGATTTCTGTTGTCGCTCTACTAGTTGCTGATTCCGTCTCTTTATCTCAATTGATGTATAACACTGTAAATAGGATTTGTGGGGCTGTGTCAATGGCAAAGAGGCGGAAATGGGGAGGATTTTTGGTTGAAGTTGGAACAGTTGGTTTCGGTAGTAATTCCCGTTAGTTGCTTGCTCTGGTGTTGGATCCGTCTGAAGCAGCCGAAATCTGAATTTGTTGAAGTTTTCTTTTTGAGTTTCGCGGGGAGTTTCGCGGTTGTTGTTGATGGAAAAATGAAGAATAAATAAAGAAGCGGGAGTGGTGTTGGAATTGGAATTTCAATTGTTGGTGCTGCTTTTTTTCTTTACTGATCTAGGGTTTTGCTGTTGCTTCTCTTTTGCTTTTTTAGTTTCTACTTAGAAGATTTTGATTCGATCTGCTCGAGACTTAAAAAGGTAGAAAGGACTGGTTGGACTGAGCTGTGTGTGTGGAGATTCCGAAATTTCTACCCAGCGGTGGAAGATGATGTTTGGTGGCTCTCAAGCATTACCAAAGGACATGAATCTTTTGTTTCCTTCGAGCTTCAAATATCCAGAAGAACTGCAGTCTAGGAGCAGAGAGGCCATGGATTCAGATCTCCATCTTCAACAGCAACAGCAGCAGCAGAGGCAGCAGCTGAGCTCAGGTCTTATGCGGTATCGCTCTGCTCCAAGCTCATTCTTTGCGAATTTCATCGACGGTAGTGGCAGTGGCGTCGAAGAAGGATGTGAAGGTTTCCTCCATCATCGACCTTCAAGCCCGGAGGCAGAAAGCATGTTTGCGAGATTCATGTCTTCTGGAAGAGGAGGAGGCGGTGGCAGTGGTGGTGAACCTGCTCTTCCTGATCCCCGGGAGATCGGGGAGAGACCTTCAGCAGTAGCTCCTTCCTGCGCAGCTGTTAACCAGAGGAATTCTCAGTTCATGGCGCCAATGGAACGTGAGGGCGAGGTTGTTTCGCAGCAGAATGGGTATCCCTCTGATTCTCAGATGATGTACCAGTCTCAGACCCCGCCACCTGTGCCTAATCACAGTTCAGCCCCCACTGCGCCCACTGTGGACAACTCGTATAGGGTTGTGAATTCTATGACGATTGATCGCCCTCCGCAGGTTAAGTCAGATGGCGGTCCTTCCAATCTTATCAGGCATAGCAGCTCCCCTGCTGGGCTTTTTGCCAACTTAACTGTCGAAAACGGTATGGTTCTTCGCTCCTTATTTCTATCTCCTCCGACTATGCTTTGAAAGTTCCAGGGCATTTTTACTGTGTGACAACAAAATAACATATTAATAAAGCTTTTTTTTTTTCCTAGCATGCCTTCGCATTATCAAGGTCTGGTTTGCGTTCTGCAAAAATTTTCTTATCTGAATTAATCACCCATTATTTTCTGTTAAGTTAATTATTTTCTGAATTCGAGTAAAGTTGAACAGAAAGAAATTGAGTTATATACGGAAAACCTTTAAACTAATTATTTGCTTAATTTCTAAGATTATATACAGAAAGCCTTTATTTTCTTTTAATTTCTGCATTAATTATGTTATATCTCTGATAATTTCCCTTCTGAACTTTGAAAGAATTATTTGAGAACAAGTACTAAAAACTTCTAACAAAAAGCAGGCTTTGCTGTAATGGGGGGCATGGGGAATTTCCGAGCCGGGAATGGATGTAATGGAGAAACATCTCCAGCGACTGGTAGGTTGAAGGGTCAGATAAGCTTCTCATCCGGGACCCATTCTTCCTCGGGGCCAATGCCTCAGATTGCTGAGGAGGGTATTGGGGGAAGTAGCTCTGATGATGGTAGCTTTGGAAACAGTAATGCTGGCAACCGAGGTTACATCCCAGGCTTTCCAATTGGTTCTTGGGACGACTCTGCACTTGTTTCTGAGAATTTAACGGGACTAAAAAGACTCAGAGATATCAATGGTGGCAATCAGGTAGTGTTTGCAGATTGGGTTCTTTTCTGTTTCTGTTGCATTTAATCATCTGGTTTTCTTAACTGATCAGTGATAATGTTGTCCATTAGAATGGAGAAGCTGTCCACCGCCCTCCTATGCTGGCCCACCATTTTAGTTTGCCAAAAACTTCAACCGAGATGGCTGCCCTAGAAAAGTTTCTGCAATTCCAAGACTCTGTTCCTTGTAAAGTCAGAGCCAAAAGGGGCTGTGCGACTCATCCAAGAAGCATAGCAGAGAGGGTAAAGCTTTCCTGCATCTGAAAATTGTTTTTGTTTCCCTTTTTGGGATTTACAATATGAATGAAGCAATGATCTTTCGTTTTAATTAAATCTATAAATATTCTTCCTTTCGTTCAGAATCAATTAATTACATCTGGGAACGCTCTAATCCATGACCTGTGGACTGAATTATTTTCAGGTAAGAAGAACCCGAATTAGTGAAAGAATGAGAAAACTACAAGAGCTGGTCCCTAACATGGACAAAGTATGTATTTATATAATATCTTAAAAAAACTTTTCTTCAAATATTTTCTGCAGAAACTAAAGATTTATTTTTGCTTCTTGGCAGCAAACTAATACAGCTGATATGTTAGACCTGTCAGTTGAATACATTAAAGATCTCCAGAAACAGGTCAAGGTAATAAAGGATGAAAATAACACGATACCCACACAGACCCTTCATGTAATTTCATCATTCCTTGACAAATTTATCTTTTTTTTTTTTCTCTTGCAGACACTCACTGATAAACGGGCAAACTGTACCTGTTCTTCCAAGCAGAAGCCGTACACGAACCCCACAGTGTGACTTGCTTGTATACAGAAAAGAAACAAATGGGAAAAAATATCAAGTGCAAAGCTGACTTGTGTTTTTGAGCACTGAAGAACCAAACAACAAAATGAGAGGTTTTCGATGTGGTTGTGGAGCAGAAAAGCTGCCAGAATCTTCACTTCAAGACCAGATCCAGTAGGTTAACAAAGCGCCGTAAAAAGAGGGAGAAAAAAATATAAAAAAATGTATAGTATATGCTCAACTTATACCTTGTATGTAAAATTACCAGTCTAGTTGAAGAATGAAGATATCTACCACTCAAAAATTTCTTCTGCTCTCATAATTCAGTTGAGAGAGAGAGAGAGAGGAACTTAAATCTCCCAATCTAAATAATGGAATGTTTTTTTTTTTATATTTTTTTATAAGCCAGGGACTTCAGATGTTGAAATAGTTAGTTGTTCTTTGTAGTATCTTTGATTTCTTCCCAATTTCCTATCAATGCGGAATGCTGTGGGTGAAATGTTAGATAGATTTGCTTGTTTCCCATTTAGACTTCTCATCCCGAGGTGAGCTTTTCTTGTCTAATTTTTTGTAATTTCCAAGATGGGTAGCTTTTTTTTTTCCGGTATCTTTGTCTATATGTTAATGAACATTACAACAGCTTTAATATGTAGGAGTTAGTTCAAAGTTCAATCAACTGCTCAGCCTTGGTATTTCTCTTTCTGTACTCCATCAAGGGCCCACGGCCCACCCCCGCTGGGTCCCAAATTTCCCGATACCAATCCCTTTAGAAAAGGACATAGCTCCTCCCTTCCCTCCCTTTTTCATCTCTAGAATGTGAGGTCGACCTTACATGAGCTCCACCACCAAGTCCTTGCTCTTTTTATGTTACCCTCTCTTACGAGTTGCAAACCTTTGGTTGGGTGAGGTATGGGTTTTGGGCCCAACACCAAACCTTGAGCAAGTAAGTGGATTTCATGAAATAACTCCTTGGGCATCTCTACCTGGGCCTGGGGTAATCTAATGAAATTATCTGGAGGAAAGTTATCAAAATCAAGGGCGTCGCCCATCCAAGATATGCCGTCTCTTTGGATACTTTGGCTCAATGGATGCGAATGCCACGCTCAATGAATCTTCAGCATGGTAATGGTAATGTTGGGTATCCGGCTGACATGGACCCAGATGGATGATCAAAAGGGGCCCCTTCTGATGGTTGCTCTGGCTCTGGAAAGCCAATCACCTCTTCAGAATTCAGATTGTAAACGAGGGTTGGACTGGCACTGGCTAGTTGAGAGCCATCCAGACAAGTCTACATCGCTCTGGAATCTTTTACATGTTAACCCTACCAAGTACCATCCTCTAATGGCGAAGAGGATTTCAACCTGGAATAAGAACATAACCAATCCAAAGATTTGTCATCAATGATCATCTGCCCTCATGACACACTCACTAGGGCTGTTCATAAGAAGACCCAACCCGATCAAACCGACCAACTTGGACCGACCCAATCCGAATCAGTCAGGTTTTCTTCAGCATCGGTCGGTTTCGGGTTGTAAAAAAGCATAAACCAATGGTTTGGGTCGGTTTCGGTTTTCATATGTGAAAACTGAAATTGACTCGAACCGAACCAACTTAGTAGTCAGTAGTTAGTTCCTAATTAGTATTTACAACCTACTTAGTTCGTACTTAACTAAGTTGTCTCTATCCTAGTTACAACCTAACTTAATTTCTAGTCTTCTAGTTAGGAATGACATTAATGGCAAGTATTGTAAGACAATTAGACAATAATTTTTTTTTTTGGAAAAATTTAAAGAAAATAATCAAATGATCCTAGTTTTTATGGTCTTTTACATCAAATAGGCAACCAATTACAATTAGAATTAGGTGTCTTTTTTTACTTAGATTAGAAGGTTTCTTGAAATATACAAATTTCAGTCTTCTTTCTCTAATATAGTTTGACTTTCTGTTTTCTTGATAACTTCTATTCTAACTTGGTCCGCCCCCTACCAATTTCAGTCTTCTTTCTCTAATAGGATTACGTGTCATTTTTTACATCAAATTTCAGTCTTCTTTCTCCAATCTACCAATTTATTATCATTGTTGAACTTAGAGCCGAAATCGACCCAAATTGACCTAACGCGACTCAAACCGGCCAGGTCGGTTTTGCTTAACACAGGGTCAGTTTCAGTTTCAATTTCAAGTAACCCGAATAGGTCGGATCGATTAAAAAAATCTCAGTAAACCAACTCAACTCGACTCGTGAACAGCCCTAACACACACAGAAGGTAGAACGTCTAGAGAAAGGACCTAATCGACCCGAACTGACCAGGAAACCTTTCCCATATAAAGACATATATGTAATTTATACAAACTACAAAGTAACAGTTGATGAGAATTGGATTTATGAATGATGATGTAGTTATGCGGTATAACCATTAAAAGAAGACGAAAACGAAGGGCATTTTGGGAAGTAATTGGTTTATTTAACATGGATGATAGGTGGGGCCGTGAGTCGTGAGGGACAGCTGGATCCAACTCACGATTCACAGTCCTGTTGGGTGCTACGATTGTGAATGCCATGTCATTGCTGATGTCATCATTCTTCCTATCTCTCTTCAAATGCTTTTTTTCTGATGAAAGTCGAAATGCTTTCTGGGCCTGTTGGAAGGGCACAATCCCTTATTGCTCTCATCAAAAGAGAGAGAGGGTCTGTTATTTCACAGTCACAGTCTCACAGATATAAAAGATGGATTGGATTGGGACGCATCTTTGATCCACAGACTGGGATAAAAAGCATCAAACCAAAAGGTAGGTGGAGAGAGAGAGAGGTTTGTGGTGGGGGTGGTACATCCCCCAAAGCATGCAAAGTTAATTCACTGAAAACCTAACACCCTTTCGTCTTATTGCAAGCAAGATTTGTCACCATCATGTGGGGGTCCAATGGATCGGGTTTGCAATAATCCAACCCGAATCCGTTAAGCTGAATAGCTATAAGCCTATATATATACTTTTCTTTCTTTTTTTTTTTTTTTTTCTAATAAAGAAAAGGGACACCTCTGACAATATAAATTTTGCTTGGGTGTTGCCCAATCTAAATCCAACCTTCAACTTTTTAGAATTAATAGAACTTTGGAGACAGATTGGGAGGCAAGTTTGTGAGGAAAAAAGGCTGTCTAGACCCTTTTTCTTTATTTTTTCCTTGTGAAAGCAAGTTTTGAAGCTTAATTAACTATTTTTGCTTTTTTAAAACTCCACATCAACAAAACATGGTGGGTGGGAGACCATTCTTTTCTATGAGAACATAACTTTACAAGAAAAAAAAAAGAAAAGAACAATAGATATAATCAATCTTAAATTAAGTAGATAGAGTATCTATTAAATATATATCTCTTCAATTAAGCATTTAAGATTTGATTTATTCTGCTCTGTTAACATCAACCATCACCTCCTCATCTTACTGTTATTTGCTCTTATGCAATGTTAGGGATAAAGCAATAACAAACATTGATTCCAATTCTTCAATCTGTATAAATTCTATTCCTTAGAATATCTCTGTCTGAATTAAACTGTGGGCAATTTTTTTTCTGGTTTTAATAATTTATATATTTTAATTCATATATAAGCTTTTTTTAAAACAAACTTTTGAGTCATTATCCTTGTAAGTTGTAACATAGAGCAATCCCTCAAACTCTTAAATTTTCTTATTTTTTTAAACCATTCCTATATTTCCTTAATCAAAATTTGTTTCCTATACAGTGATAAACTAGAGTTAGGCTCCTTAGATTTCACCTAATAAATCACATAAGACATTATTGAGATCTCAATAATTCTCAAGTTATTACTATACTTGTCACACTACCCTAACAGGAACATTGAATTTTGGTCTATATTACACTGAGCATGGACTGAAGTGACTCAAAACTAACCAAAATTTATTGAATTTTGACTTGTTAAAGAAAATTAGGTTGAATAATGTTATCAAACCTCACTACACACATTGATAGTGAAACAGTGTTGAAAATGTCTTTTCTCTCTTTCTTCTTCCTGATTCTTTATATAGGGAACATTTAGCATTCAAATTTCTAAGGACAATTGAAATAGTCACTTCACATAAAACTATCTGGGGCTTATTAATTGTATGAATAAAAAATCAATAATATATAATTGACTTATCTATTAAAATTAAAGAAACAAAAAACAAAACAAGACATTTGCTATTCACAATCGATTCACTTTCCTTTTTATTAAGAAACCTGTTATCGCTCCAAGTAAAACATGGTCATCTTTTGACCCAAGCCCGTGCATCTTAGGGGGCTTTTCTAGTAAATCCTAATTAACATTTATAGGTTTCATGCACTATAAAATTTTATGTCACTCCTTTATATTAAAAATATATTATCCTTCCTTGTATTTCTTCTCTGTATTCAGCTACATTTTCTTGAATCAGTAACCCAAATTTTCCTTTTTCCTTTTCTTTTTTCTAGTTTTGCTAATATGGGTATGCAGTATGCCATTTGTTTAAGTTTGAAAACTATATAAATAGGGGTGTCAATTGGACTGAATTTGCTCCAATCTGATCTGGTTCAATATGAGTCCATTACAGATGGACCAAGTCTAATCTAATCCAATGAATGCTCGGACCATTTTGGACTGGTCCAGTTCAATGTCTGAACTGTTCAATCTATTCAAATTGATTTTAATGTAGATTGGTTCTAACCCAAACTTGGTCTATTTGACACTTGTATTCTTATCTTCTATCAATGAACTAGATATTAGTTCAGTCTGACCCAATCTAATATAAATCTCTTACGGATGGACGAGATCTAATCCAATATCCAATAAATACTTTGAGCCATTAAGTCTAGACTGATTCAATTCACTATGTCTTACTGCTCTGTTCAATTTCAATCCGTCCAAATCAATTTTGATTTGAACTGGGTGCAACCCAAAATCGGTCCATTCCCTAACTATAAGTAATTGAAAAAAAATAAGGCTTTTTAGTTTTTGTTTCTCATTTTTCTGATTTGATTTTACTCATGTTGCATTTGCATCAACAACTTATCATTTGGTAATTTTGGTTAAAGTAGCACGTGCCTTCTCAATAAAGGTGGTTTGCAAGTCGGGCTGTGGGAGTCATGAATTCAAAACCATGAAAGGGATGGTTTTGACAATTAGGCCCATTTGGTTCACTTTGGAACTGGAATCAGAATTAAAATCTCTTGGAATCAGAGTCAGAATAGTCTATTTCCATATTCTATTTGGTTCAAACAGGAATTGGAATCAGCTGAAATGATATATAATTTCCGAGGGGGAGGGAATGGTCATTCCCTCAAATGGGGAAAAGCCATTCTTTCAGAAATGGGAATGAGATTCCAATTCCACCCAACCAAACAGTTGAAAATTGAATAGCCTATTCCGATTCCAATTTTAGACCCTTATTCCTGCGAACCAAATGGATACTTAGTAATGTTTCCAACCATGTGCTGTG